GGGACACCCCCCCCGCCACAACCTGTCTCCCCTTCATCCCTGGCTGCTGGTGGCTCATTTCCGGGCACTGGGAACCCCCCCATTGATTCCGTCTCAGTCCTTGGGCACCTCTGCACCCCCTTTTCTTGGCAGCGGGACCTCACCCCCCCCACTTTTAACCCCTCACCATCCTTGGCCTCTGGGAACCCCTCTGGACACCTGTTGCCTGGGCACTGGGACCCCCCCCTCCATCCTTGGGCACCGGGACCCTCAATGAACTCGTTTTTCTTGTCACCGGGACCCCCCTTCACTCCTTCATCCTTGGCCACCGGGAATGCCTCTGGGCACAGGGACCCCCCTGGACTTCCCTTTCCAACCACTCCAACCTCCCTCAGACCCTCTTCCCCCCCTTGTCCTCCATCCCGGGACATGTTGGGGTGCTCTACCCTCCTTTCCCATGCACCGGGATCCCCCTCCCCACTCCTAGAACCCCTTTCCCATTCTCTGGATCCTCCCCTGGATCTGCTGCGCTTGACACCGGGATCCCTCTGGGCACCCCAATTCTCCCACCACTAGGCCCCCCTCTCCTTGATGCCAGGACCCCCCCATGCTCCCGAGGAACCAGGACCCATCCTCCACCCCTCCCCCCGTCCCCACTGGTCACATCCCTCCTGATGCTGCCCGCCCCCCCCAGTCTGTCCCCCTGGCACCCCTACCCAGCCTCTCCACCCATCTCTGCACCCTTGCCCACCCTCACCCCTGTCCCAAGTCCACCCTGGTGCCCCTCAGCCCTCACTGCTCTTCTTGTCCCCGCAGGGCCCCACTCCTTGCAGTACTTTAATGTCGTGGTGTTGGAACCCAGCCCCGGGGTGCCCGAGTTTGTGGAAGTGGGGTTCCTGGATGGGACCCTCATCTCGCGCTACGACAGCGAGACGGGGAGGACTGTGCCCCGGGCGGACTGGATGGCGGCCAACCTGGACCAGCAGCACTGGGACAGCCAGACCCAGATCAAACAGAGGGATCAGAGGTTTAATCGTGTGAACCTGGAGACAGTGCGGGGCCGCTACAACCAGAGCGGGGGTGAGTGTGGGCTGGGGCTCTGTGGGACAGAAGAGTTCTCCCCCAGGATCCTGCCCTGCCCCATGCTGCTGCCCCGGCTTGTGCCAGCCCTTCTGTACCCGGTGTCATTGTCATGGGGCTCCCAGCCACCCTGTCCCCCAGCCCAAGGGGGTCCTGCCTGCCCTGTCCCAGCCCCACAGTGCTTGGGGATCCCCTGTCCCAGAGCTGGGGGTGCTTCTGGCCACCCCAGCCCAGTGCATCCCCACCTCCCCCCCAGTGCCAAAATCCCCCTTCCCAGAACTGGGAGGCTTTTGGCTGCCACATCCCAGCTCCTCACCATCCCCACAGCAGTCAAGACCCCCAGAAGCAGAGGGGCTGCCCCCCTCAGTGTCCCAGCCCCTCACCCTCCCCATGGGGCTCAGGGCCCCCATCCCCCAGCCAGAGGGGCTTCACCAGCCCCACCCCATCTCCTTGTCTCCCTCCATGTCATTTGGAGACCCCATCCCAGCCCCTCACTGTCCCAGGGAGCCGTGGGGCTGGGTGCCAGCCCAGCCATGCTGTGGGAGCAGAGGGTCTGTGTCACAGCTTTATGTGACACCCCAAGTGCTGTGGGCCCTGGGCAGGATGGGGGGCAGCCCTGGTGCTGGTACCTGTTCCTCCCAGGGCTCACACAGGGCTGGGTTGGGGGGTGCTGCTGCTGGGGGGTCTGTGCCCCACTGATGTCCCAGGGCTGCAGCAGCCCCTCAGCCCCTGGTCGTGTTCCAGGGGCTCACACGTGGCAGGAAATGTACGGCTGTGACCTCCTAGAGGATGGTAGCACCAGGGCATATAATCACTACGCCTACGACGGAAGGGACTTCATTGGCTTCAACAAGGACACGATGACGTTCACCGCAGTGGACACAGGGGCAGAAATCGCCAAGAGGAAGTGGGAGGAGGACGGGACTGTTGCTGAGCAGTGTAAGCACTTCCTGGAGAACACCTGCATCGAGAGGCTGAGGGAATACGTGAGCTACGGGCGGGCTGTGCTGGAGAGGAAAGGTGAGGGGGAGACGGGGACCGAGGGGACCGGCCAGCGTGGGTGCGTGTGCCGGCCCTCACTGCCACCCCCTCCCCAGAGCGCCCCACGGTGCGAGTGTCGGGGAAGGAGGCCCACGGGATCCTGACCTTGCACTGCCGCGCTTACGGCTTCTACCCGCGGCCCATCACCGTCAGCTGGCTGAAGGACGGGGAGGTCAGGGACCACGAGACGGAGCGTGGGGGCACCGTGCCCAACAGCGACGGCACCTACTACACCTGGGCCTCCATCGAGGCCAACCCGGGGGAGAAGGACAAGTACCGGTGCCGCGTGGAGCACGCCAGCCTGCCCGAGCCCCAACTCTATGCGTGGGGTGAGCCCGGTGGCCTTGTGCCCGGGGAGGGGAGGGCTGGGGTGGTTCCCCTTCCCCTGCTCATGGTGGTGCTTCCCTCCAGAGACGGAGTCCAACCTGGTGGCCATCGTGGCGGGGGTGGCTGTTGCTGCAGTCCTGGTTGTCGCTGCCATCTGTGGATTCGTCATGTGGAAGCAGAAGTCAGGTAAAGCATCGGGGCCGGTGAGGCAGAGGGGTGCGGGGGGAAGGCAGGGCCTGGGGGGCCGGGAGGGGCTGTGGGCACGAGCCGCTGTGCTCTGGGGAGCCCCCGAGGCTGTCGGTGAAGCGCGGTGGATGCTGATGCCTCTTTCTCTTTGCAGGGAATAAGAAGAAGGGCTACGGCGTGGCGTCAGGTGAGTACCGGGGGCAGGTCCCGCTCCAGCTCCTGCCCGGTTCCGGGGGGGTCTCGTGGCTCCAGTTCCTGGCTGTAGCTGGCATTTCCTCCCCCCTGCCCTTTTCCCTGTGTCCCTGGAGTGGGGACATACGGAAGAGGTCGTGTCTCCCCGTGGGGCTCCCATCCTCCTCTCCCGGTGGCCCCAGCGTGGCCGTGGCTCCTGGCACGTGCACCGTGCCCGTATCGAGCCCGGGGCTGGCAGCTCACGGCTGTTTCTCTCTCGCAGGCACGGACGGGGGCTCTGACTCCTCGGCCACAGGTACGGTGTGGGGATGGACGGGTCGGCCCCAGCTCTCCCTGCTCCCCTGTGGGACCCACAGCAACCCCAGGCTGCATGAGGGGGGGCACTGAGAGCCCCTGAGCAGAGGGATGGGGAGAGGGAGGTGTCCCTGGGTGACACTGTCTGTCCCTGCAGGGGTCATCTCCCGACGGCTGTCAGAGGGACCGGCGTGTGGATGGATGTGGCTCCTGCCTTCTCATCCACTGGAGGCAGAGAGGGGCTGGGGGGAGCTGGGAGATGATGGCAGAGAGAGCTTGTCCCCCTGCCCCCCCTTGCCCCAGGTCGTTCCAGCCAGGATGAGGTTAATTGTCACAAGGAACTGGGATTGGACACAGCCGGGTTGACCCAAACTGGGTGACGTTTGTACGGGGCACCAGCTGGGCAGAGGAACGGGACAGATGGATTCTGTGGCCTGGCTCCGTGTGTCCCCGCAGTGACCAGGAGGAGGACACTTTGAGGAAGTGAAGATACTTCAGTGATCCAAGTGGGCACTGGTGGGCTGCTGTAGCTACAGAGATGTGTCACAGAGCAGTGTGCCCCCGTGGCCAAGAGCATCCTGGCCTGGATCAAGAAGATTTTGCCAGCAGGACTAGGGATGTGATCACCCCCCCTGTATCCAGCGCTGGTGAGGCTCCACCTCAGAACTCTGCTCAGTTCTGGGACGCTCACTACAAGAGAGACATTGAGGTGCTGGATGGTGACACGAACCCTTCGCTGGGCACCCTGTTCCGGTGCATGACATCCCTTTCTGTGAAGAAGTTCTTCCTAATATCCAATCTAAACCTCCCCTGGTGCTACTCTCATCCTATCTCAGCTTGAAGGCTTGAATTTCGCAGCAGTATTTATTTCGCAGCAGTATTTATTTCGCAGCAGTATTTATTTTGCAGCAGTATTTATATTTTGCTGTATTTTTAGAGTTGGAAGGGACCATAGAGATCATCTAGTTCAACTCCCCTGCTGAAGCAGGATTGCCTAGAGCTTGTCAGAGCACGTTACTCAGGAGCATCCAGGCAGTTCTTGAAAATCTCCAAGGAAGGGGACTCCACACCCTCCCTGGGCAGCCTGTTCCAGGGCTCTGCCACCCTCACTGTGAAGAAGTTTTTCCTCATATTTGAGTGGAACTTCTTATGTCCCAACTTGTGCCCGTTGCCCCTCGTCCTCTCACTGGGAACCACTGAAAAGAGTCTGGCTCCCTCCTCCTTCAACCCACCCTTGAGATACTTGTCAGCATTAATAAGGTCTCCCCTCAGCCTTCTCTTCTCCAGACTAAGGAGTCCCAGCTCTCTCAGTCTTTCTTCATAAGGGAGATGCTCCAATCCTTGAATCATTGAGATAACAATGGATCTGCCCAGAACATGTTAAACCAAATTTGGTTTATGTATTTATTATATATAGTCGCCAGCGACTAATTAACTTGACAGGATTGTTGACCTGATTCTGCTTTGTAAATTCTGAGGTGCTCTATGTACTCCCCTGCTCCGGGAGAGGGATCAGTATTATCATTCTGCTGCCTTGTGTAATAAATATCGATATGACAGCATCACTGTTGAGGTGCTGGTTTGGTTGGGTGTTTACGTGGCATTGCTGTCCTCGAGTGCCATCTCTCAGCATTTATGATCGATGGCACCCAATCTGTGGTGGGAACCGGGGGGATCCTTCCCCCGGCTCTTTGGCCTCCCCTTTCTCCTTTGGGCTGGTGCAACAGCTCTTGAGAATTTTAAATATCCTTAATGTTCTGGCAGAGTGTTCCCGTTGCTGTGTCTCCTGGATGTGTTTTGGGTCTTGTTTAGGTTTTAACACCCTAAAATATAAGAACAGCACCCAGAGATGTGCCCCGAGGCTGGATAGTCAGGGGTGGCATGGCATGGGGGAGAATATGGGCAGGTATCTGGAGAACTTCACCCCTCTGGTGGTTTGGGACTTCCCCCCAGAACAACTCCAGGACCCTGATAAAGCAGTGGAATATTTGAACGGGAAATGTTGTGGCTGTTCTGGAGAGGCACAGCTCACCCCATGGTGCTGGGCCCTGGCCAGTATCTACCAAACATGGCTCGGTATTGAGCAGCACCCTCAGGAGAGAGAGAGGGAAACCAGACCAATAGAAATCGTGGCTACTACGCCCCCTGGCAGGCTCTGCGGCTACCGCAATGTGACTTCGTTAAGGGTAGGTCATGCCTGACAAAGTTTTCCTCTTTTTCCTTTTCCTCTTTTTCCTTTTCAAGTTGAAGTACCACTGGCCAGAATTTGTTGTATACCTGCTGCTAAGTAACGCAATGCAGACCTTACTGCTTGCCCTAATTGGCTATGCACCAAAGCAATTGTTATGGACCCAGTTACTAATCATAGAACCATAGAATGGTTGGAGTCGGAAGGGATCTTAAAGCCCACCCACTGCCACCCCCTGCCCTGGGCAGGGACACCTCCCACCACACCAGGTTGCTCCAAGCCCCCTCCAACCTGGCCTTGAACCCCTCCCGGGATGGGGCAGCCACAGCTTCTCTAGGCAACCTGGGCCAGGCTCTCACCACCCTCACAGCAAAGAAGTTCTTCCTGAGATCTCATCTAAATCTCCTCTCTTCCAACTTAAAACCCTTCCCCCTCCTCCTATGGCTCCCCTCCCTGATCAAGAGTCCCTCCCCAGCAATCCTGTAGCTCCCTTCAGATACTGGAAGGCTGCTATAAGGTCTCCCCGGACCTTCTCTTCTCCAGGCTGAACAACCCCAGCTCGCTCAGCCTGTCTTCACAGCAGAGGTGCTCCAGCCTCTGATCATCTTCGTGGCCCTCCACTGGATCCGTTCCAACAGGTCCATGTCCTTCCTGTGTTGAGGACTCCAAAGCTGGACACAGAGCTCCAGGTGGGGTCTCACAAGTACAGAGTAGAGGAGCAGAATCACCTCCCACGACCTGCTGGCCACACTTCTCTTGATGAACACCCACAAGTTCTTCTCCTCAGGGCTGCTCTCCAGGCATTAATGTAATAAATGTTTGTATAGGGACCTTGAGATTCGTCTCACCTTAGTCCGCGCTGCTGGGGATTTGTGAATCTGAGTCGTTCAACCCAGGACAACACCCCAGGACATGGTCTGCTCTCCTGGCTACCAGGACACTCTATGACGCGCCGCTGACTCCTCTTGAGCCGGCCGCCGACCCACACCCCTGTAAACTAAACCATTTCATGATCGCTGTGGCCAAGACAGCCACCCGCCATCCCATCTCCCACAAGTCCTCCGCTCACAAAGAACAGGTCCAGGGAGCCACCTCTCCTTGCTGGGTCACTTGTGACAAGAAGTTATCTTCCATAAACTGTGGGAATCTCCCAGCCCTGCTGGTCACAGCACTAGGGCATTCCCAGCTGGTGTTGGGGATGTTTAAGTCTCCCATAAGGACAAGGGTGACTGATGCAGAGATTTCTCCTCATTGTCTATGGAATAGCTCTGTGGAGTGCTGTCATCCTGGCTGGGTGATGGGTGGTGGACACCCGCTGCGCCATCTGCTTTGTCTTCCATCCTCTAATCCGCACCCAGAGCCTCTCGACCTCGTCATCCTGAACTGTAAGGCCAAACCTCTCCCTTCCATCCCTCACTGGAACTCCTGAAGAGCTGGTGGCCCTCCATCCTTCCCCTCCCATCCTGGGTCTTCTTCCACTGACCCAACTCCTCCACTGCGTCTGCCCTGCCTGCCCCTTCTGAAGAGCGGATAGCCCTCCATGCCAGCACTCCAGGCGTGTCTCCTGCACTAAGACCATGCAAAGGGACATATGGAGAAGGTGGTCTCCTGCCCTGAGGCCGCAGAGAGTGGTGCTGAGGGGAAGCATCTCATGGTCTGAGGCCATGCAGACACATGCTGAGAAGGTCTCCTGCTCTGTTGCAATACAGTCACTGAGGAGAAGGTCTCCAGCTGAAGGCCCCACAAATGGGCACTGAGAAGGTTTTGTGCCTTCAGGCAATGCAGACGGGCTCTGAGGTCTCCTACTCTGTGGTCATGCTCCATGAGGTCATTAAGCTCGAGAAGTGGGCATGGTTGAACCTCACAGGGTTCAACAAGGTTAAGTGCAGGGTGCTGCACCTGGGTCATGGCAAGGTCAAGGTCATCCTCCCCTTCTGCTCTACCCTGGGGAGGCCCCATCTGGAGCACTGGGACCAGTTCTGGGCTCCCCAGTTCCAGAAGGACAGGGAACTGCTGGAGAGGGCACAGCAGAGGGCCATAAAGATGATGAGGGGCCTGGAGTGTCTCTCTAATGAGGAGAGGCTGAGGGACTTGGGTCTTTGTAGTCTGGAGAAGAGAAGACTGAGGGGGGAACTGATCAATGCTTATAAATACTTCAAGGGTGGGTGTTATGAGGATGGGGCCGGTCTTTTTTCAGTGGTGCCCAGTGACAGGACAAGAGGAAATGGGCACAAGCTTGAACACAGGAAGTTCCATCTAAACATGAGGAAGAAGTTCTTTCCTGTGAGTGTGGCAGAGCCCTGAACAGGCTGCCCAGGGAGGTGGTGGAGTCTTCTTCTCTGGAGACATTCAAACCCCTCCTGGACACGTTCCTGTGGGACCTGCTCTGGGTGGACCTGCTCTGGCAGGGGGTTGGACCAGATGACCTCCAGAGGTCCCTTCTGAGCCCATGTGACTCTGTGATTCTGAAGCCCCGGTCTCAGCCCAGGCTGGGGATGGAGGGGTGGAGAGCAGCCCTGCTGAGGATGATTTGGGGGGAACTGGTGGGTGAAAAGCTATGTGTGGGCCAGTAACGTGCTCTGGCAGCCCAAAAAGCCCTGCTCCCTGGGCTGCATCCCCAGCCCCGTGGCCAGCAGGGCGAGGGGGGGATTCTGCCCCTCTGCTCCGCTCTGGGGAGACACCCCCCAGTGCTGCCTCCAGCTCTGGGGCCACCAACATCAGAAGGATGTGGATTTGTTGAAGCAAGGCCAGAGGAGGCCACAGAGATGCTGGGAGGGCTGGAGCCCCTCTGCTGGGAGGGGGGGCTGAGAGAGTTGGGGGTGTGAGAAACAGGCTGAATTTTGCTTCAGCTAATTGATATATTATTTTTTTCTTTTCTCTGTTAGCATGTCTGTATTGATAAAGGTAGTTCAGTTATAGTGGAGTCTTATCCCTTGTGTCCGACTGATCCTGGGAGGCACCTTGGGGCTGTCCAGGGGTTCTTGATTGTGAAGTGTTATCTAGCTGAAGGCTAACCAAAAATTGGTGGCAGACTGAGAAGTGGACAACGGACGGTGAAGAGTGATAAGTGGACGAAGGCCACCTGGAGGGTAACTAGTGAAGATATGACCACCAGAGTACTTGTATCCACTAATATTGGACAGCAGGTGATGGCAAACATATAGCGGGGTGTTTAGAATAATAATTTTGTAGAACAGATATATGTGCTTTATCTATACTAGGTTAGGTGGTCGGGAAGAATGTGAGCTCCAACTTCTCAGCCAATGAGAGACAGTAACTCAGGCGGTCGGGATAAGAAGTATAAAGATACCTAAGAAACCAAAAGGGCCTGTGCCTCTACTTTGAGATGCACCCGATTCGGCGCTGTTTCGTATAATAAATTTCTATACCTTTGCTTTGGCGACTTTGTCCTCTTTAAATTCTAGGTGTGAGCCGGCATTTCTCACAATTTGGGGGCTCGTCTGGGATCTGCACTCCTGTTCCTGCGAGACGGGACAGCAAAGAGGGGAAGGCGCGCCCTGCTGATTTCAGCGGTCTCCAACCTACTGTCTCGTCCCGTGAGGAGCAGCGGGTCCTATCCGGACAGAGGACTCCCGAAGCAAAGAAGGGGAAAAAGAAGGATTGGATTGACAGGATTAAGTTACGCGCAGCAGCCGATAATTTCTGTGCACGGGACCCGGGTAAGAAAAGTGACTGTTAAGTACTACTCGGGCGGCTGGGATAGCGGGACTGGGAGTGTGTGAGTGAGACGCAGAATTGCCTGCGAAGCGAGTGTGGAGCCCTTCGAACCGCGGTGCCGTCTCTCCGGGGGGAGACCGGCCGGGGAAGGGGCGAAGCGAAAAGGTTCCAGGTGAAAGTAGTCCCACTGGAGAGTAAAAATGGCAAATGGGCCTAGTGGAAAGAAGGTTATAAAGAACCAGGGATTCAAAGATCCTGGTTTGAGCATTCCACCGGACAGTCCTTTGGGGGTGATGCTCAGGAAATGGGGGCAGGGTTGCACCCGGGGAAAAGATAAAAAACCAATGATACGGGACTGTATGTTTGAATGGGTGAAAGAACCCATTAGATCTGACTCGTTGTATTGGCCACAGTTCGGGTCAACGGAAAATTGGTTATGCCAGGCTCTGAACCTATATGTAAATAGTAAGAACCTGGTAAACCAAGAAGAAAGAGAATATGCTTCGTGCTGGAGAAGGCTCCACCGGACAGTCCTTTGGGGGTGATGCTCAGGAAATGGGGGCAGGGTTGCACCCGGGGAAAAGATAAAAAACCAATGATACGGGACTGTATGTTTGAATGGGTGAAAGAACCCATTAGATCTGACTCGTTGTATTGGCCACAGTTCGGGTCAACGGAAAATTGGTTATGCCAGGCTCTGAACCTATATGTAAATAGTAAGAACCTGGTAAACCAAGAAGAAAGAGAATATGCTTCGTGCTGGAGAAGGCCTCACCCCTTATTTGTTGCAAGAGACCTTGGGGGAAAGAAGTGTAAAAAGAAAGAAAAGAAGTGGGAACCCCTGGAACACTTGCCACCCCCATACAACCCTGTCATTGGCGAAATAGAAGACAATTGGGGGGAGGAGGAAGATAATGAGGAAGATAATGAGGAAGAAGGGGGTGATCCTGTGAGACCTAGTGCCCCTCCGTCTGGGGAAACTCGGAGAGCCCGGGTCACGGAATTGGATCAGATTGTGAGGGATGTTCAGAATTTCCCTTTGCCGCCTTCTAAAAGGGAACACATAGAGGTCCTTCAAAAAGGGAACACACAGAGGTTATGTTCCCTTTGAGCGAGGTACCCATGCCGGGAGCCCCGGGTGGGGTGGGCTTTGTGAATGTACCTCTGACTAGCACTGAGGTGCGGGAATTTAAGAAGGAAATGAAAAAGTTATTAGAGGACCCTTTGGGGTTGTCAGAGCAGCTCGACCAGTTTCTGGCCCCTAATCTTTACACTTGGGATGAAATGCAGTTCTATTTTAGGAGCCCTGTTCACACCAGAAGAAAGACAAACGATCCGGGCTGCGGGTATTAGAATTTGGGAGCGAGAAAATCCTCCCGATGTCCCAGGGGGAGTCCTAGGGGAACAGAAATTCCCTGTGGCAAGACCTGCCTGGGATCAGAATAATGCGGAGGGGAGGAATAATATGGCTGATTACAGAAGATTGGTCATGAGGGGAATAAAAGAGGCAGTCCCAAAAGGACAAAACTTTGAGAAGGCTTTTGAAAGTACACAACAAAAAGATGCATCTCCCACAGATTGGTTGGAAAGGTTAAGGAAAAATTTGCAACAATACTCAGGGATAGATCCTGAGAGTGATGTGGGGCGAGAGTTGTTGAAAGTTAATTTTGTCACTAAGGCATGGCCTGATATAAAGAAAAAGTTAGAGAAATTGGAAGACTGGCATGGTCGGGATTTGAATGAATTGTTGCAAGAGGCTCAGAAAGTGTATGTCAGGAGGGATGATGAGAAGCAGAAGACTAAGACTAAGCTGATGGTGGCGACAGTGGAACAAGTAATGAAGCGTCGGCCTGAGAGGGGGAGGGAGAGACGGTTAAATCGTGGCAGAGGTCCCAGCCAGGGACCACAGCACGAGCGTGGAGAATATAGGATTCAACCAGCTGGGAGAGGAAACCTTCAGGGTGGCAAACAGGACCTAGAAAGTGTTTTCATTGTGGGAGAAAGGAACACTTTAGGAGGGAATGTCCAATAAGGCAAAGAGAAGACAGGGTGCTTCGAGTAATGGAGTGAGATGATTATTCCCAAGAATAGGGGTGTCAGGGGCTCTACCTTCTGGGGTCTAACCATCATATCAAGCCCTTGATAAATTTAAAATTAGGACCCCAGAAGGAGGAATACGTGTTCCTAGTGGACACAGGAGCAGAAAGAACAAGTATAACCAAAATCCCACAGGGATATGAGACTGGGAGACTCACAACGAATGTGGTTCGGATAAAAGGGGAAGGGTTTCCAGTCCCTATTGTGGAGCAAGTGACTGTGCAGGGTAATAACCGAGAAGTAAAAGTGGACTTAGTGGTAATACCTGAAGTAGGAGTAAATCTATTGGGGAAGGATTTACAAATATTATTGGGGATCAGAATAGTTCCAAAAGAAGACAGAATGATGGTGCAGCTTTATAAGTTGACGACAGAGGATGAAAAGGCCATTAATCCAATAGTCTGGGTGGCAGAAGGAAACCGGGGGGGGGGGTTAAACATACCCCCTCTGAAAGTGGAATTAAAGAAGGGGAGTCAACCTGTGCATGTGAGGCAATACCCTATATCCCTAGAGGGGAGAAAGGGGCTCCAACCTGTGATTGAAGGATTGTTAAAAGATGGCCTCTTAGAGCCATGCATGTCTTCTTATAATACACCCATTTTACCGGTCCGGAAGTCAGATGGAGGTTGGAGACTAATGCAAGATTTGAGGGAACTGAATAAAATTGTTCAGACGCGTCACCCAGTTGTACCCAACCCTTATACACTGTTAAGCAGAATAACTCATGAACACAGGTGGTTCAGTGTAGTAGACCTTAAAGATGCTTTTTGGACCTGTCCCCTGGCAGCAGAAAGCCGGGACATGTTTGCCTTTGAACGGGAGGACCCAGTAACAGGGAGGAAGCAGCAATTCCAGTGGACGGCTTTACCACAGGGGTTTACGGAATCACCTAACCTCTTTGGGCAAGTATTAGAACAAATACTTGAGGAAATTTCACTTTCTCCAGGGATTAAGCTGCTTCAGTATGTAGATGATTTACTAATATCTGGGGAAGAGGAGGTGGAAGTTCGATCTGCCACCATCAAATTGCTGAACTTGGGAGAAAAAGGGCTTCAAGTTTCAGGAACTAAGTCGCAATTTGTGGAAAGAGAGGTGAAGTACCTAGGGCACTTGATCAGCAAAGGGAAAAGGACGAATTTCTGGTATTATAGCAACCCCAGTTCCAAGGAGCAAGAAAGAAATAAGAAAGTTTTTGGGCCTTCTTGGATACTGCAGATTATGGATTGATAATTTTAGTCAACATGTTAAATTTTTGTATGAAAAATTGCAAGAAGAAACAGAAAAACCTGAATGGACAGCAGAGGAGCAGCAGCAGTTTGAAGGACTAAAGCAAAAACTAATCCAGGCACCTGTATTGTCTCTTCTTTCCCTGGAAAAGCCATTTCACCTCTATGTAAATATTGAAGGTGGGATAGCCTATGGAGTGTTAGCTCAGACCTGAGGAGGGCAGAAGCAACCAGTAGCCCATTTGTCCAACGTATTGGATCTGGTATCACGAGGATGGCCAACCTGTGTGCAAGCAGTGGCAGCAACAGCTTTACTGGTGGAGGAAAGTAGGAAACTGACCTTTGGGGGAACGTTGATAGTATCCACCCCTTACATAGTAAGAACAATATCAAGCCAGAAGTCCGGAAGGTGGCTGACTGATTCTAGGATTCTGAAGTATGAAGCCATCTTAATGGAAAAAGATGACTTGGTTTTAACCACTGACAAAAACCTAAACCCTTCCCAATATTTATATGGGGAAATGAAGGAGGAGGTACCAGGGCACAATTGTCTTGATATCATCGAATATCAAACCAAAGTTCGAGAGGATTTAGGGGAGAAAGCATTGCCTGAGGGAAAGAGAATCTTTATAGATGGATCATCTCAGTGTATAAATGGGAAGCGTCACAGTGGATATGCAATTGTAGATGGGGTACAAAACAGTGTCGTGGAAAAAGGAAGGCTTCCAAACTCCTGGTCAGCACAGACATGTGAACTATATGTCTTGAAGCGAGCTCTGGAGCTATTGGAGGGAGGAAACGGAACAATATACACAGATTCTAGATATGCTTTTGGGGTAGTTCACACCTTTGGGAAGATATGGAAGGAAAGGGGGTTAGTCTCATCTAGAGGTAAAGGATTAGTGCACGAGCAACTGGTGTTGGCAGTGCTGGAAGCCTTGAGTAAACCAGAAGAAATTGCTGTGGTGCATGTGGCTGGACATCAAAAGGGGAATACACTAGAGGCCAAGGGTATCAGATTGGCTGATGAACAAGCAAAGGAGGCAGCCCTAGGAAAGGTCATAGAAATGCGAATCCTAATACCTGGTAAAGAAGCTCCCATTAAGCTACCAGTATTCACTGAAGAAGAAGAGAAATCCTTTCAAAAGATGGGGTGTGTAAAAACCCAAGAAGGTAAATGGGTTCTTCCGGATGGGAGACAGATGTTAAATAAGGCAATCACTCGAGAGATCCTGTCCAGAGTGCATTTAGAAACCCATTGGGGAACGCAAGCTTTATGTGACCAATTTTTGAGAACTTATGGTTGTTTGGGTGTGTATGCTGTGGCCAAACAGATAGGAGATCACTGTTTAATTTGCCAGAAAGTAAATAAAAAGGTGATGAGAAAAACCCCTAATGGAGGGCAAAGATTAGCCCTCAGACCATTCCAGAGTGTCCAGGTGGACTACACAGAGTTTCCTAAGGTACAAAGATGGAAATACCTGTTAGTAATAGTGGATCATCTTACACACTGGGTTGAGGCCTTCCCTACCACTACCGCCACTGCTTCGAACGTTGCAAAGATTTTACTAGAGCAAGTGGTTCCCCGATATGGAATAATAGAAAGAGTAGATTCTGATCGGGGAACCCACTTCACTTCCAGAGTGTTGCAGATGGTATGTGCAGCTTTGGAGATACAATGGGACTTCCACACCCCCTGGCATCCTCAGAGCTCTGGCAGAGTCGAAAGGATGAATTACCCTGGAACAAATGCCTGTCCCTAGCCTTGTTGAAAATTAGGACTGCTCCGAGGAAAGATTTGGGTGTATCTCCATATGAAATGCTATTTGGTCTTCCATATTTGGGAAGGGAAGAAGGTGTGCCGATTCCTGAAATTAATGATGTTTTTCTTAAAAATTACCTGTGGGGAGTAGCCCAATCTCTTGCAGAATTAAGACAGCGCGGATTGCTGCCTCAGACAGCTCCACTGGATTTCAGACTACACCAGATACAGCCTGGAGACTGGATACTAGTGAAGTCCTGGCGAGAGAATAATCTGACTCCAGTGTGGGAAGGACCTTTTCTGGTACTCCTGACAACAGAAGCAGCCGTAAGGACTAAAGAAAAAGGGTGGACACATGCTACTCGGGTAAAAGGACCAGTAACTCTACCTTCTGGAGAGTGGACGGTAACCCAGGGAAACAACCCATTGAAGTTGATTCTTAAGAGGCAAAATTTGTAAATTTGAGAGTAATGAAATAACAGTGTAATAGCTGGGGGCGGTATAAGCAAAGGTTCTGCAGTAAAAACCAAAGCCAAGGGCAAGACTGGGTCGGCCTCTTCACTCCCCTTCTGTGAAAGATCTCCGCTGCTGGCTGCAACCCAGTAGGTGTTGAGAGATGGGAGGAAAAGCTGTGCCAGACCTTGGCAGGTTTCATGTTATAATAATAATGAACCTTGTGACCATCCCTCTGTGTTACAGTCAAATAGAAGATAACCAATTTGTGGCATTAGGGAACGAAATAGCAAAAAGCTTTAATTTGAGTAATTGTTGGGTATGTGGAAGTCCGAAGGGATCCGAAGAATGGCCATGGGCAGCCCGGCCTGTCCAGCCCAAATGGTTAGTGAGTAGCTTAAGTACAGTGCGCCATGGAACAAAGTTCTGGGCTGAAGAGGGAGTTGCATGATCCCAGTGCAAAAATGGAAGTCTATGATAGATGTCGACTGGTGGAATGACTTTTTTGGAGTCTTTTGGTGGAAGAAGGTGGGCTTCATTTTGTTATGTGCTACTACTGGGCTGTTATTCATACCTTGCTTTACTCCTTGCACAGTGAGGTTAATCTCTAGCTCAGAGATGGCACTTGATTAAGGTGTTCCTTCCATGAACCTTGGCATGCTGGTTGCAGGGTAGCAGCAAAAGAGGTTGGTAAAAGAGGGGGGTTTAAAGATTCTCTGTTCCTGGCTTGTCAACGGAACAATACAACTAGCAAAAACCATATAATAAGAGTCTATCAGGGGGCTTGGCAAAATTCAAATGGGACTAGGACATATTTCAAGAAATTTTGGTCAGCTACAAATCGAACAACAAAAGAAAGAGGATGTAACTGTAAATGGCATCCGGATGCAGAGGCCTTTGAATGTGACTACTGCGATTCCTATGGGGATCTAATTATATCAGGAGGACCGTGGGGCTCTGAAGATCCGCTATATTATGAGACCACACATGATGATGAAACATGGGATGGTCCATTTGCTAACGGGGCTTGGGCTTTAGAAGGCCATTACTGGATATGTGGGCAACACGCTTATCGAAGGTTACCTCCAAATTGGTCAGGAATATGTTATGTTGGATACATAATGCCTTTCTTTTTCTTGCTGTCTGATGCACAGGCCGCTGGGCTGGGGGTCCAATTATATGATGAATTGAGGAGAAAGAAACGATCAGCTATCGAGATAGGAGGGACTCAAAAATGGGGACAGGATGAATGGCCCCCTCAACGCATTATAGAAACCTATGGACCTGCAACATGGGCACAAGATGGTAGCTGGGGATATCGAACGCCTATCTATATGCTCAATAGAATAATTAGGTTGCAAGCGGTACTCGAAGTAATTACTAATCAGACAGCCTCAGCATTAGAATTAATAGCAACCCAACAAACACAGATGCGGACTGCAATATACCAGAATAGATTGGCAATAGGCTACTTATTAGCAGAAGAAGGGGGGCTACGCAGCAAGTTTAACACGTTGGAGTGTTGTCTTCAAATTGATGACAACAGACAAGCTGTGAAAGATATAGCAGCAAACATCAGAAAACTAGCACATGTCCCAGTGCAAAAATGGAAGTCTATGATAGATGTCGACTGGTGGAATGACTTTTTTGGAGTCTTTTGGTGGAAGAAGGTGGGCTTCATTTTGTTATGTGCTACTACTGGGCTGTTATTCATACCTTGCTTTACTCCTTGCACAGTGAGGTTAATCTCTAGTGTGGTAGAAGGAATGCAAGTGACCAGTCTACCAAATGCAAGAACTTCGAGTCAAGGTAATACAACAGAAAGAATTATGGTCCTAAGGAAAAGAGATCACCAGAAAGAAGAACAAAATGGGAGGTTACAGTTATTATTGAATAAATGGGAACAAGATAATGAGCTTCAGCAAAAATGTGATGAATGAAAGGGGGTGAATTGTGAGAAACAGGCTGAATTTTGCTTCAGCTAATTGATATATTATTTTTTTCTTTTCTCTGTTAGCATGTCTGTATTGATAAAGGTAGTTCAGTTATAGTGGAGTCTTATCCCTTGTGTCCGACTGATCCTGGGAGGCACCTTGGGGCTGTCCAGGGGTTCTTGATTGTGAAGTGTTATCTAGCTGAAGGCTAACCAAAAATTGGTGGCAGACTGAGAAGTGGACAACGGACGGTGAAGAGTGGTAAGTGGACAACGGACAGTGGAGACTGATAAATGGATGAAGGCCACCTGGAGGGTAACTAATGAAGATATGACCACCAGAGTACTTGTATCCACTAATATTGGACAGCAGGTGATGGCAAACATATAGCGGGGTGTTTAGAGTAATAATTTAGTAGAACAGATATATGTGCTTTATCTATACTAGGTTAGGCGGTCGGGAAGAATGTGAGCTCCAACTTCTCAGCCAATGAGAAGGGAGACAGTAACTCAGGCGGCTGGGATAAGAAGTATAAAGATACCTAAGAAACCAAAAGGGCGTGTGCCTCTACTTTGAGATGCACCCGATTCAGCGCTGTTTCGTGTAATAAATTTCTATACCTTTGCTTCAGCGACTTTGTCCTCTTTAAATTCTAGGTGTGAGCCGGCATTTCTCACAGGGGGTTCAGCCTGGAGAAGAGAAGGCTCCGGGGAGACCTTCAAGCCCCTTCCAGTCCCTCAAGGGGCTCCAGGAGAGATGGGGAGGGACTCTGGATCAGGGAGGGGAGCCCGAGGAGGAGGGGAGATGGAGCTGAGCTGTGGGGAAGAACCTCTTTGCTGTGAGGGTGGTGAGAGCCTGGCCCAGGTTGCCCAGAGAAGCTGTGGTTGCCCCATCCCTGGAGGGGTTCAAGGCCAGGTTGGAGGGGGCTTGGAGCAACCTGGTGTGGTGGGAGGTGTCCCTGCCCAGGGCAGGGGGTGGCACTGGATGATCTTCAAGGTCCCTTCCAACTCGTGGGGGCTGAGGGGGCGCCCAACGGGAACTGGGTGGAGGAAGTGACTGGTCCAGAGGCTCCCTGTGTCCCTGGCCTTCACTTGGAAGCCGGAGGCATCACGAAAAGTGAAGAACTTCCAGGATGCGAGGAGAGACACCGGGAGCGGGAGTGTCCGGGACCCGGGGACACCGGGACGGAGGGAGGGTGTCCGGTGTGGGGGGGCGCAGGTGGGAGGGACAGCAGGAACGAGGGACATGGGGTGACCCCGGGCTGGGGGGACACTAGTGGAGCATTGGGGTGGGGGGTCCCGGGGGTCTCCTCTTACCTCCCCCCCCCCCCCCCCCCCCCGGCCCCC